CTAATCCTATGCAAAGAGTCTGCTATAGGCACAGCAGGCCCGTAGCCAGGGGGGGTTCGCATGGTTCGGGCGAACCCCCCCCTGGCCAAAAATTCTTTCAAAATCATGCAGTTTTTCACCATTCTGAGCACCTTTTAAGTGATTTTGGCCCTTTTTGGACCCAAATTGTCAAAAGTGAACCCCCCCTGGAATTTTCCAAAAAGTGAACCCCCCCTTGGCAAATCCTGGCTACGGGCCTGCACAGAGTCTACAAACTGTTTTGGGTAAAGAACCTGCTAAAAAGCTTGCTATAGACATTGGCCCTGTTTTGGGCATAAACATTGCTACGGGTGCTTTTTATTTTAATCCAAAAAGTTACAGTAATTTAGATGCTGTAAACTCTTTTAGGGGTCCACATTTTGTATTAAGTTGCAAAAATATAGTCTTTGATAAAAGAAGTATATTTTTTAAAATTGAAAATATGACCAGTAATTGGGAATAAATTTCCTGCCTTCGACAGCTTTAATAACTATAGGCATCTGCAACAAAGTACAATAATCACTATTATTACCACCGTTAATGACCAGGACTGAAACAGCAAGAAAATCTTAGGCACTCAACGATATCTAAATTCTCGGGGAAAATTGCCGGTCGTTAAATGCATTCTTGACCGGCTATATTGACCGCCATTATGACTTCACATATTGCTCAGGTCGATATAGTAAAATGAATGCTTTCTAAACTAGCACCAAAACCCCTAGAACTGGCCCGGCAAGGTGGTAATAATTTGTTTTAATCAATCTATCTTGCACTTGGCAACATAATAGCTCCAGTTGAAATCACAAGGTTATTGTAGTTGTTGGTAGTGATTCTAAAACTAGAAACTGCCATTGTCAAGCCTTGGATACAAATATATGTAATACGTATGTATATCAAGATACTCAATAAAACTGCTCAATAAAATAGATTTCTCTTGAATTGGCTGTCACTGACATCATTCCTGACTTGAGGTTATTACACCTTAGAAAAAGAAAGATAGATAGAATCAATGTGTGAATAATTAGAAACTATTTGCTAGTCAATTATAATCTAGATAACAAGACACAGCGTGATAAATATGACACTGAAAAGCAAAATGGCTGCCATGTAATTTACCCAGCATGCTCAAGATCTGTAATCAAATCTTGTGCAAACGCCTGCACATACGGATGCATGACTATCAACACAAGATGTGTTAGAGTAGAACAATAGAGTGTGATAAAAATTACAAAAATACACCCATTTTTCAAAAAACCATGCCTGGTAGCTGGTATAGCCCAGGTCACAGCACTTCTTGTGATTTGTCTTTGACCAATGACTGCTGACCTATACCGGCGATTACTAGAGTGCTGCTGACTCGATAAAAGGCTGGCACTGGCTAGAATTGTTTATGGTTCTAGCCAGGACAAAGATACCAGTTCTTCAACTCGACAATGGGAAGAACTGCTCTACCTTAGTGACTAATATGTCATGATATGACATCTAAAGAGTCGATAAAAGATATATATAGCAAGTGATTTTAGACGGTCAATTTTTTCATTATTAGTATAGTATTTACTCAACATGTATTTCATAACAACATGCTTGCCTCAAATTTCTCAAGACAATATCAATCTCATCCTCCGATCACAGGGCTTCAAAATCCAGAATACATTCTTTCTTTTTACCCCCTGCGATAAGCAGTTAGCCTTTCCCCGACTAAGAACTCGCAATCTGATTGGCTGTCGCAACACTGCGACAGAAATCATGTATAAGTCATTGCGCATAATAAGATCACGTGATTCAGTTTAATCGGGCGCTTCGAAATTGGTTATAGCAGGTGGAAGAAGGAGGTACGGATTCTGGATACCTGCTTAGGAGGATGTATCAATCTGAGTCTCCAAAAAACATGGATAAGAAGAAGAACACAAAAAGAATCCAGACAAGGCATTAACATGACAAAATGTCACCACCTAAAACAATTTGGCAAATTAAAGCAAGTTGGAAAATACCTTTTGACCTTAAGAAGGTTTGATTTGAACTTCTTAGAACATGTAGATGATTTTGAAAAAAAAATTCGTCAATTTGAAGCAAGTTGAAAAAATACCTCTTTGACTTTTTTTGACATTGAGAAGGTCATTGAAGGTCAAATGTAAAGTCAGATTTGAACTTCTGAGAACATGTAGATGATTTTGAAAAAAAATTAAGTAAATTTGAAGCAAGTTGAAAAAAGACTTTTTTGACCTTGAAAAGGTCATTGAAGGTCAAATGTCAAATCTATAGTCAGATTTGAACTTCTGAGAACATGTAGATGATTTGGAAAAAAAAATTAGTCAATTTGAAGCAAGTTGAAAAAAGACCTTTTTGACCTTGAGAAGGTCATTGAAGGTCAAAGGTCAAATCTAAAGTCAGATTTGAACTTCTGAGAACTTGTAAAGTCAAATTTGAACTTCTGAAAAGATGTAGATGATTTAAAAAAAAAATTGGGTCAATTTGAAGCAAGTTGAAAACAGACCTTTTTGACCTTTTTTGACCTTGAGAAGGTCATTGAAGGTCAAATGTCAAATCTTAAGTCAAATCTTAAGTCAGATTTGAATTTCTGAGAAAACGTAGATGATTTTGAAAAAAAGATTTAGTCAATTTGAAGCAAGTTGAAAACAGACCTTTTTGACCTTTTTTGACCTTGAGAAGGTCATTGAAGGTCAAATGTCAAATCTAAAGTCAGATTTGAAGGTCAAATGTCAAATCTAAAGTCAAATCTAAAGTCAGATTTGAATTTCTGAGAACATGTAGATGATTTTGAAAAAAAATTTAGTCAATGTGAAGCAAGTTGAAAAAATACCTTTTTGACCTTGAGAAGGTCATTGAAGGTCAAATGTCAAATCTAAAGTCAGATTTGAAATTCTGAGAACATGTAGATAATTTAGAAAAAAATTGAAGTCAGTCTAAACAGTATTTGTTAAGTTATAGGAAGTTGTAAGAAATTGTTACAGACGCCGGACACCAACCTCCAACCACCAACCGCCGGACGCCGGATGCCAACCTCCAACCGCCGTCGCAAAAAAACGGAGACCATAACAATATGTCACCACTTTTGGTGGTGACATAAAAAGTTATAATTATCTGAGCTGTAACATGTGCAGGGTGTGTTTAATAAATATTGTACACAAGACAAGAGAGGGAGGTTGGTGGAAAGCAGGGGCGGATCTGGGAAGCAACAAGGGGGGGGGGCCAAATTTCAGGCCAGAGAAAAAAACTTGGGCCCCTAAAATCCAAAAGTGGGCCCGACTTTTTTTTCTGGGCCCACCCAAGGGGGGCAGGCCCCCAGCCCCCCCCCCCCCCCCAGATCCGCCAGTGGAAAGTAAATGTATCATGGGTTGAATCTATACAGGGGTTGTGGCTGAAATCTTAATGATATTTTATATGTTCATGCATATTTTAACAAAAATTTGATTAAGCAAGATAAAGTCTAATAGGTCAAGAACATAAAAAATGGAAATCAATTAACATGGTTGGTCGAAAACAGAATAAAAAAATTATCAAGTAGCTAGTAACCAATGTCACCGCCAGGTAGATTACTCAGACAATATGACATAAATGATTGACTAAATTCTGATTTGATTTGATTTGAAAACTGTGTTTAATTTTTGAATATTTAATGATGGTGATCAAGGTTTTTCTACTTGCTAATATATTGATTCACATGTATCAATACTGTTTGTTACAAATATAACATTTTGTCATTGATTACCACATATTGATCAGATAGTAAATACAATAAATCATCGATATTACTATTGTTACAATAATGAGGTCTCTGCAAGGTCACTTGCCATACAGTCTAATCCACAACTTTAAATTTTGGCTAATTTTAAGTAGAGCTAGTCATTTAGTACGGATCAACAATTAATCATATGGATATCTATATATGGGTTTAATCGCAGGCATGGGAACAGAAAAGAATAGATATGTGAATGGAATAAATTAATTACAACAGATCGATTCATTGAACAGAAAGTTTAGGGTTACTTGATTCACTAGATTCATTTCTTTCTTCACTATTTGTCTTTGTTTCCGTGCCTGAGGATTTTATCTTTCATTTTTATCGATGGTCTTCGGCATTTTTGTAACATGATATGAGTTAAAGATTTTTCAAATGAACTATGCGGCAGTCATCTATTTTTTATTTATTGCTGTTGTACAGCCACAAAGTTTGTGTTCTTCAAGGCAAATGTGATACAATATATCAACGAAGGTTATAATATACTTCTGAGAATTACCAATGTCCAGGGAGTGGCAGGGGGTTTTCTTATCGAAAAATTGGTTTATGTTTTGTCTTGCTGGTCCAGTGAATTGGCAACTTGAATTTGAAATACAGGTGGAAAGCTGAAAGGGCTAAATACAGGGTGTCTCAAAAAGTGTACCCAAAAGTATATCATCAGCACAGATAAACCAATCAATATTTTCAGACATTTTTACATGGTCATGTAGCTGAAGCATGCAAGTTTTCTCCCAAATATTGTACAAAGTTTTGAGTTCAGTCTTGCCTTTTTGATGCTTTAACCCTTTACTTTTTATTTCAGGGTCAAAGCATCAAAAAGTCAAGGCTGAACTAAAAACTTTGTCATGTCTGAAAATGTTGATTGGTTTATCTGTGCTGTTGATGTACTTTTAGGTAATTTTTTGAGACACCCTATATATGTTCCTCCCATTGTATCTCTGTTTCACCTAAGTGGTTGAGGAAGAAAATAGGGAGAAAAAAATGTTACAAATCCAGTTGACTTTCATACAGTGATTGGTAATATGCACAAATATATTAAAGCTAGAAGCTTATAAATTATAGAAATCAAAAAGGTAGATATTACCTTGTAAAATACTCTTACTTCAAGGCCTTTTGACACCCCCTACATAGCTCTAGAGGTTACATAGACAAGGGGGAGGTCCAGAGCATTGATGCAAGAATAATTTTTTTAAAATTAACATGAGAAAAATAAAAAACATACCTGTTTCCATAAGTATGAATCGGAGTAGTTCATTGCCACAGAGCAGATGACCTGTATCACAGAAAGGATGATTCCCCCTAACACAGACAGCCGCATTCTTAAGGGAACCAGTGTGTAAACCATATATACAAAAAACACTGTACACCAGACCCCTTCACTTGCACTACGAGGATCATTGTCAATTGTGGCTAGCAATGTCATGCAGACTAACATAGACATGATAACGTATTTCATGATATTCATTTGGAGTTGAGTAAAAGCGTTTCTATTGCACAAGACTTCCATGACAATGAAAAGTATAAAAATAAATCCAAGACTTATTCCTTTGATAACAGTTATCGCACCACCTACGTAATGAAACACTATCAATACTAGGCAGATGAACGCCAGTAAAGCCATTAATACTGTCAAATTATTTTGATTCCATTTAAAAAAGTATCTTTGATATAATTTTTCTAGCCTTGGATCTTTGAACTTCTTGGACTTAAACACAGTTCGAATGGTTTGTACATCAAAGCATTTTGAGTCATGGATGAGTGTTGCTTCTTCAATTACAGGCTTTTGGTGTTTTTCTAATTTTTTCTTAATCTGACTTTGTTCATATTCTTCAGCTGCCCTTTCCCAAGCTGATTTGCGATTCATTGAGTTCCCTGTTCCTGGTCGGGAAGTAGGCACGATGGATTTCCCATTTTGAGTAATACCTCCGTTAGAATGCACAAATCCGTTTATGAGTGTATTTTTAGGATTAACATTGTCTTGGGGTATTACAACATTAACACCATTTAGTCCAGGGGTCGTAGGATTCGATTTTGACACTTCCCATGCTTTCTTGCTTCCCACCGATCCCAAGCTGCCATCTCGAAGATGTGCTTTGAGATCATTTTGGTCAGGACTGACACTGTTCCTCCCACCAGTCATTCTATACCAGCAGCTTTAAATCAACTGGAAAAGATTAAAAGAGTTATGTACTGTATTGCAAAAAAGAAAGTATACTTACACTGTACATGTAATTCTGCAATTGAACAATGGAACAAATGAAATAAATATAAAAACAGTATCTAGTATATAATTAAGACATAATGGTATGAAATTGAAGTAACAAGATTCTAAAATGCACAAAAGTGAACAGGAAAAATGGAATTAATGAGGAATAAACTAGTCTTGAACACTTTACATTTTATATGAATGTAAGAAAATAATTATATATGAATGTAAGATAATTTATTAAAATTTTAGAAAAAATGCAGGACAAACATAGAGAGTAAATTTACCCTTATTAACAAATATTTATTATATTCTCTGCTTGAGGCCACATAAATGTCTGAGTTAACATATTTTCTTGCTCATCTGAACAAAAAGGAAAACATTGATTTTCATATGTTAATATACTCAGAGCAATGGTTGAATTCTTGTTGAAACAACGCCAATCTTATTTGGTCAATAGGTGAGATTTGCTTAATTGGAATCGGGGATCGAGTGTATATGGCAGGCTTATGGTAAATATAAGTCAGATACAATGTAAAGGAATCCTGAGATATTGGATTGGATTGGGCTGTAGTATTTGCTATGTCTGGTAATAAATCTCAATTCAAGAGGACAATAACATATCTAACAATAGCAATATACAGAGAGACCTGTATAAGTGACACACTATATCACAATTCATATTTCAAAATAGAGGAGTGGAAAAGGGAAAACTAGCAAGGAATATAGAATAAAGTATACAGACATGTAGTCATGATTATACAGGGGTGTTACCATGATCTAAAAGTAGGTGAGGCAGATCTAAACTGGTGGGGCAAATAAATGCCAGGTTGAAAAAAAGAAAATGTGTAAACATTACTTGATAGATAGGTATATATAGCAGGGGTTTCATTAACAGCAGGCAACAGGCGATTTTCACTGATTGTTTTCACAAAATTGCCTGTTGTTTTTAGGGACTTTTCAACTTTTTAATGTTAAGTTAATGATTTCCAATGATTTTCTCCGTTGTTTTCATTTATTGAGAAATTCTAGTGAAACCCCTGAGTACCTGAGGTACACATTCACCAGGCAAAATTTAAATGAAATCAAAAATGAATTAAAAGTAAAATATTACTATCACATATATCATAAACGATCATAGACTTCAATTTCAATTAAAATAGTTACAACTCAATTAACCCTTTTTGTAATTTTTTGTGAGGCCTCATGTTGTTTACGTATTTATGGGTACAAGTATTCATTATCATAATATATCTATAATTGAGGTATTTATGAGAGAGGTATTCATTAGAGGGAGCTCACTGTTTTCAGATAAGGTGTTCAAAATTTATGACAGTCAAATGAAGTAGAATGTCTATTCCAATAAAACACTTCACAATTTGGATATGTCATAGAGCCCTTGATTGAAATATCAATCCCATAACCATATAGACTAATAATAATATTTAGAAAAAAATGAAAAAATGAAAAATGATGAATTTTGAAAACAAAGCATAAATGACATTACAGAGAAAACTGGTAACATTAAAAATTCTTTAAAATGCTATGATATCTATTACACGAATAAAATTGAAATTAAATGCTTGAAATGAAATAACACCTGCTTGATTTATCCATATGGAATGTTGAAAATAATACATACAAATTTCAATTGTTGCTGGTAAAACAGCAGCAAATACAAATATTTCAAAATTTCAAGACCAACAACTTTTTTCCTCATTTGTCAAATATTTCACACTTTGCATTTAAGGCATTTGAAATATTATATACCATAAAGAGAATGGGTAGGATGGTTGCTAGGAGGCATCGTTAAAACAGTGGCATGTTGTCTGTAAGTTATATGCTGAATCAATTAATAAAAATTGATAATAAATATCGGTATTTCAAGATAATACCAGTAAGCAACCTTTGTCTTATTTCTAGGTAAACTTTAATAAAAAAAAATGTAGTTTGAGACATCTACCCAATTTGCTTGCCTATAAAACACAAATACAAGTATTTTTTTTTTTTGAATTTAAAGAACGCTTTAATATAAAATGTTATACACTTTACTATTAAATAATTTTGAGGTATCTGGGTACAGTACTGTCAATCCCCGAAGATTTTCTTGCGGGACAGATTTTTTAGACCCAGTGCCCCAAGCTTTTTGCGTGTGTTTACAAGTTTAGAGATATGCATGTTCTTCATTCAGATTCAGAATCTTCCTGGAAAATCTTGAAATACGCAGAGGCAACCACAATGCCATTCATTTTATACAAAAGAATTACCACTGAGAAGCTTTCAGAAAGAGAGCATATATTGTATAATCAAAGCCTATATCATACGATATCAATCTTAATAATAGTTACCATATAATTTCATGCTTTTGTAAGCGTTATTTATTTTAATTTGTACTATTGGAATGGGATCCAGAATAACAAAATGTCAGTAATATTTGTTTTTTGTATTTCAGTTAAGTTTCTGCGAATTGCAGTTACGTTGAATTTATGATACATCGTAAGAGCCATTTTAATATGACCACTATCAGAAAATTTTACAATTGCATGAGTTGGGTGAGGCTGATCCGTGATTATAAGTCTTCATAAACACTAATTTTTCAAAATATAGATTAAATCAAATTATACGAGTACATGTATAAGAATCGGAATGAAAGTGCCCTGTCCATATTTCATTATTAATTACAAATATTTACTGCTTTATACAACTATAGTCATTTTCATTGCAATTATCTGTAAATATTCAGGCCCGTAGCCAGGGGGGCTTTCAAAATCACGCAGTTTTACACCATTTTGAGCACTTCTCAAGTGATTTTAGCCATATTTGGGCCAAAATTGTCAAATGTGAATCCCCCTGGAAATGTTTGAAAACTGAACCCCCTTGACAAATCATCAAAATTTTAACCCATTGACGTCATCGATTGTGGTCATTGCTTACAGTCAATCAGCGCAGCGGAAATTATCGATTTTCTTTACTTTGTAGAAAGGTGAATAAAGGGTGTTAGGTACAATATCCTCCGACTTTCAATGATGATTACAAAATTTTGTTCATAATCGAAGGCTACGGTAATCTATTCAACAATTATTGATAATAACTCCCATTTTCCTACAGTTTTGATGCTGATAATCTCAAAAGTAACAATAGTTTTTCTTTCTTTAAAAGAGAGCTTCGTCTACATAAATAAGGCCAGCTTTGATAACTGTGTGAGTCCAATTAAGACAACTGAGGCATATAAGAATCTGATCCATTGTTTTTAATCAAACTATGACAAAATTTAGTTCAGATACTGTAATGACTTTTAAAGTATTCTGACAACCATTGCAAAAATAAGTAATAATAACAACTGATGGATGGGAAATAAACAGGGAACAATCTTCCATCTTTCCTATTTCATTATAATGGAGTGCTATATTAACACCTTGACGCGTCTAAGGAATTATAGAGAATTGTAATTAAAGCTCAGCGTGATATATCGTGAAGGTATTTTGACACCTTTTGACATCCAACTAAAGTAAGGATTAAATTATAGACAATGAAGCTTAGTCACTGAAAAGATGAATGACAATAGTGAGGGTTTTCTAGGAAAATTAGTAATCATCCCAATTAGCATGCATCAAGAGAAACCATATACCAGAGACCATAAACAGGTAGTCATATAAATCCGAATATATGCTTTTCTTTGTTGTTATTTGTTATTATTTAGATAACTGTTTTTTTATAATTTTTTATCTTACGTAGATGTTGAAAAAATGTTAAATGACAAAGATGCAAATCAAAGAAACGTTAAATAATAACATTCGGACGAGTTTACTTGTCAAACAGGTAGTATCATCACAAAACTGTTGGACATAAACAAACTTTATAGTATATTATGATAATATTACATCTTGCTGAACCCCCTCCCCTTTCATTATATTTTTATTATATTTTTCATTTATATTTCTAATTTTTCTACAGGTATAAAATCCATCACTTTTGCCTGTATCAATGGTATCTACAGGTTTTAAAATCCTATTTTAAGGATGCTATGTCAGTCAATCCCGGGCAGTCAATAGTACTAATGTCCATCGTATAAGAATATCCAACTTGATATAAATATTGATATGATATGAAATGCTTCTTGACAATCAAAATATCAACGAAGACTCATCAGGCAGACTCCACAAGAGATCATTTCATTATGTCCATGGAAACGAAGCAAACAAAAGCACTAACATAGATCTGTATCCTCTTCAAATCAAACCAGGTATTTATGAAACACTAATTAATACAAATAAGACATTATCACAGGAGATATTAAAACAAAAATAAAAAAAATATTTATGTTGTCATGGAAATCAGATTTCTTTTTGCATCCTCATCTTGTCATAAAATGTTTTCTTACCAAAAAACTATATTTGTACAGCTCCATCTTCTATCTAATGCGCCATAGATAGTCTCTAAGTCTAAATAGTCCAGTATGTTTTATATTATGTACATAAAATGTTCAAATACATATCCATTGACACGATTTTGTACGACAGTTTGCCAGCAGCGTGAGCATTTCTTCCTCACTTTCTTCTTTTTTCAAATCCTCATTCAGGGCCTGAACCTTGATTGGCCAAAATAGATAGGAGCTGTTCTATTCACTCCCTCAAATACAATTCCTAATTGATCTTGAACCTGACTAGATAGCCATCTATATTCATATCGATATTTATTTTAATCTTCACACAATTAAAATAACTTTTCTAAATATTTCATTCGCAATGGGAATGGGGGATGTAAAGAAGCAAATAAAACAAATTAGCCTGTGAATAAACAAAAAAATTTTAGATGGCCAAAAGATCAAGAAGTATTGTTTTGAAGACACTCAATAAGAGACCCAATGATTGAAATGAGCTTCTGCAGGAGATACTATTTGACAAATGTATCTCTAGGAGAGGTTTCTCCTGTGGGAAATAATGTTTAAGGGAATAATGTATCTCACTGGGATGATTCTCCTGTGGGAGATAATGTTTAAAGGAATAATGTATCTCAATGGGATGATTCTCCTGTGGGAGATAATGTTTAAAGGAATAATGTATCTCAATGGGATGATTCTCCTGTGGGAGATCATGTTTAAAGGAATAATGTATCTCAATGGGATGATTCTCCTGTGGGTGATAATGTTTAAAGGAATAATGTATCTCACTGGGATGCTTCTCCTGTGGGAGATACTGTTTAAAGGAATAATGTATCTCAATGGGATGATTCTCCTGTGGGAGATACTGTTTAAAGGAATAATGTATCTCAATGGGATGATTCTCCTGTGGGAGATCATGTTTAAAGGAATAATGTATCTCAATGGGATGATTCTCCTGTGGGTGATAATGTTTAAAGGAATAATGTATCTCAATGGGATGATTCTCCTGTGGGAGATAATGTTTAAAGGAATAATGTATCTCAATGGGATGCTTCTCCTGTGGGAGATCATGTTTAAAGGAATAATGTATCTCAATGGGATGATTCTCCTGTGGGAGATAATGTTTAAAGGAATAATGTATCTCTAGGAGAGGTTACTCCTGTGGGAGATAATGTTTAAAGGAATGATGTATCTCAATGGGATGATTCTACTGTGGGAGATCATGTTTAAAGGAATAATGTATCTCAATGGGATGATTCTCCTGTGGGAGATAATGTTTAAAGGAATGATGTATCTCTAGGAGAGGTTACTCCTGTGGGAGATAATGTTTAAAGGAATGATGTATCTCAATGGGATGATTCTCCTGTGGGAGATCATGTTTAAAGGAATAATGTATCTCAATGGGATGATTCTCCTGTGGGAGATAATGTTTAAAGGAATAATGTATCTCAATGGGATGCTTCTCCTGTGGGAGATAATGTTAAAAGGAATAATGTATCTCAATTGGATGCTTCTCCTGTGGGAGATCATGTTTAAAGGAATGATGTATCTCAATGGGATGATTCTCCTGTGGGAGATAATGTTTAAAGGAATAATGTATCTCAATGGGATGATTCTCCTGTGGGAGATAATGTTTAAAGGAATAATGTATCTCAATGGGATGATTCTCCTGTGGGAGATAATGTTTAAAGGAATAATGTATCTCAATGGGATGATTCTCCTGTGGGAGATAATGTTTAAAGGAATAATGTATCTCAATGGGATGATTCTCCTGTGGGAGATAATGTTTAAGGGAATAATGTATCTCAATGGGATGATTCTCCTGTGGGAGATCATGTTTAAAGGAATAATGTATCTCAATTGGATGCTTCTCCTGTGGGAGATAATGTTTAAAGGAATAATGTATCTCAATTGGATGCTTCTCCTGTGGGAGATCATGTTTAAAGGAATAATGTATCTCACTGGGATGATTCTACTGTGGGAGATCATGTTTAAAGGAATGATGTATCTCAATGGGATGATTCTCCTGTGGGAGATCATGTTTAAAGGAATGATGTATCTCAATGGGATGATTCTCCTGTGGGAGATCATGTTTAAAGGAATAATGTATCTCACTGGGATGATTCTACTGTGGGAGATCATGTTTAAAGGAATAATGTATCTCACTGGGATGATTCTCCTGTGGGATATGATGTTTAAAGGAATAATATATCTCAATGGGATGCTTCTCCTGTGGGAGATCATGTTTAAAGGAATGATGTATCACAATGGGATGATTCTCCTGTGGGAGATAATGTTTAAAGGAATGATGTATCTCAATGGGATGCTTCTCCTGTGGGAGATCATGTTAAAGGAATGATGTATCTCAATGGGATGATTCTCCTGTGGGATATAATGTTTAAAGGAATAATGTATCTCAATGGGATAATTCTCCTGTGGGAGATCATGTTTAAAGGAATGATATATCTCAATGGGATGATTCTCCTGTGGGATATAATGTTTAAAGGAATAATGTATCTCAATGGGATGCTTCTCCTGTGGGAGATAATGTTTAAAGGAATAATGTATCTCAATGGGATGCTTCTCCTGTGGGAGATAATGTTTAAAGGAATAATGTATCTCAATGGGATGCTTCTCCTGTGGGAGATCATGTTTAAAGGAATAATGTATCTCAATGGGATGCTTCTCCTGTGGGAGATAATGTTTAAAGGAATAATGTATCTCAATGGGATGATTCTCCTGTGGGAGATAATGTTTAAAGGAATAATGTATCTCAATGGGATGCTTCTCCTGTGGGAGATCATGTTTAAAGGAATAATGTATCTCAATGGGATGATTCTCCTTTGGGAGATCATGTTTAAAGGAATGATATATCTCAATGGGATGATTCTCCTGTGGGAGATAATGTTTAAAGGAATGATGTATCTCAATGGGATGATTCTCCTGTGGGAGATCATGTTTAAAGGAATGATGTATCTCAATGGGATGATTCTCCTGTGGGAGATCATGTTTAAAGGAATAATGTATCTCAATTGGATGCTTCTCCTGTGGTAGATCATGTTTAAAGGAATAATGTATCTCAATGGGATGATTCTCCTGTGGTAGATCATGTTTAAAGGAATAATGTATCTCAATGGGATGATTCTCCTGTGGGAGATCATGTTTAAAGGAATAATGTATCTCAATTGGATGCTTCTCCTGTGGGAGATCATGTTTAAAGGAATAATGTATCTCAATGGGATGATTCTCCTGTGGGAAATAATGTTAAAAGGAATAATGTATCTCAATTGGATGCTTCTCCTGTGGGAGATCATGTTTAAAGGAATGATGTATCTCAATGGGATGATTCTCCTGTGGGAGATAATGTTTAAAGGAATAATGTATCTCAATGGGATGATTCTCCTGTGGGAGATCATGTTTAAAGGAATAATGTATCTCAATGGGATGATTCTCCTGTGGGAGATCATGTTTAAAGGAATGATGTATCTCAATGGGATGATTCTCCTTTGGGAAATAATGTTTAAAGGAATGATGTATCTCAATGGGATGCTTCTCCTGTGTGAGATCATGTTTAAAGGAATGATGTATCTCAATGGGATGCTTCTCCTGTGGGAGATCATGTTTAAAGGAATAATGTATCTCAATGGGATGATTCTCCTGTGGGAGATCATGTTTAAAGGAATGATGTATCTCAATGGGATGCTTCTCCTGTGGGAGATCATGTTTAAAGGAATAATGTATCTCAATGGGATGATTCTCCTGTGGGAGATCATGTTTAATGGAATGATGTATCTCAATGGGATGATTCTCCTGTGGGAGATAATGTTTAAAGGAATAATGTATCTCAATGGGATGATTCTCCTGTGGGAGATCATGTTTAAAGGAATGACGTATCTTGATGGGATTAATCTCCTGTGGGAGATAATGTTTAAAGGAATGATGTATCTCAATGGGATGATTCTCCTGTGGGAGATAATGTTAAAAGGAATGATGTATCTCAATGGGATGCTTCTCCTGTTGGAAATAATGTTAAAAGGAATAATGTATCTCAATTGGATGCTTCTCCTGTGGGAGATCATGTTTAAAGGAATGATGTATCTCAATGGGATGATTCTCCTGTGGGAGATCATGTTTAAAGGAATAATGTATCTCAATTGGATGCTTCTCCTGTGGGAGATCATGTTTAAAGGAATAATGTATCTCAATGGGATGATTCTCATGTGGGAGATCATGTTTAAAGGAATGATGTATCTCAATGGGATGCTTCTCCTGTTGGAAATAATGTTAAAAGGAATAATGTATCTCAATTGGATGCTTCTCCTGTGGGAGATCATGTTTAAAGGAATGATGTATCTCAATTGGATGCTTCTCCTGTGGGAGATCATGTTTAAAGGAATAATGTATCTCAATGGGATGCTTCTCCTGTGGGAGATCATGTTTAAAGGAATGATGTATCTCAATGGGATGATTCTCCTGTGGGAGATCATGTTTAAAGGAATAATGTATCTCAATGGGATGCTTCTCCTGTGGGAGATAATGTTTAAAGGAATAATATATCTCAATGGGATGCTTCTCCTGTGGGAGATAATGTTTAAAGGAATGATGTATCTCAATGGGATGCTTCTCCTGTGGGATATAATGTTTAAAGGAATAATGTATCTCAATGGGATGCTTCTCCTGTGGGAGATAATGTTTAAAGGAATGATGTATCTCACTGGGATGATTCTCCTGTGGGATATAATGTTAAAAGGAATGATGTATCTCAATGGGATGATTGTCCTGTGGGAGATAATGTTTAAAGGAATAATGTATCTCAATGGGATGATTCTCCTGTGGGAGATAATGTTTAAAGGAATAATGTATCTCAATGGCATTAATCTCCTGTGGGAAATAATGTTAAAAGGAATAATGTATCTTAATTGGATGCTTCTCCTGTGGGAGATCATGTTTAAAGGAATGGTGTATCTCGATGGGATGCTTCTCCTGTGGGAGATCATGTTTAAAGGAATAATGTATCTCAATGGGATGCTTCTCCTGTGGGAGATAATGTTTAAAAGAATGATGTATCTCAATGGGATTAATCTCCTGTGGGAGATCATGTTTAAAAGAATGATGTATCTCAATGGGATGATTCTCCTGTGGGAGATAATGTTTAAAGGAATGAT